AAAACCCAAGATTCAAGAAGATTACAAATTCTTGAGGCAATTCACATAAGAATAGAGCGACCTACCATGAACACCCAAATCACGGAACTATTTACTCTACCCACCATGAGAGTAAGGACAAGACAAGAACATATCGATGCCAACACAGAAGACAATGTCCAACATAACAGGCCAATTACACTGGATTAATCTTTGTGTTTGGATAGGAGATGCCTCGTATGGGCCAATAAGCCTTCTGCAGCCCCTATGTTTATCCCTTATGTATCCCCCCATGTTTTCACCTTCATTGTATTATCACCTGACCTAATGCGGGTATAAAATCAACTAGTATTGTAAGATCTGTTCACTTGAGAATGAACCATGGAGGTTCGAAACGTCGTGCAAATTATACAAATAAGTGTAATACACTCTATAGTAAATCACTTCTTTTCTTCACCTTAAAAGTACGAAAATGAGTTTTGGAGAACTCCTATTTCAATTAAGCCCTGATGCTAAGAAAATAGTTAGAGGGATAGAAGCCCTAAACCAGAAAATAATAAATACAGAATATGCGGTCATATTCAATGAAACATGTTTGAAAGAAAACCTGCTGCCAGTATACACCAATATATATATATATATATATATATATATATATATATATATATATATATATATATATATATATATATATATATATATTAGATCCTACAAAATTATGTGAAATGTTTTTCTTAAGTATTAAATATCGAACACGACACTGAAAACAACCGATATTATTTAATGTCTTTGTGAATTTGAATTATATTAAAAAAAAAGATCAAACTGTTGAATGTATATCCCGCCAAACACACACCGAAACTACGACGTTGGTACAACGTTCGAACAAGTTTTAACACCTAACCAGTTATAACAACCATTATAGCAAGTTGTAACAACGTTCCAATACGTCATGAACACGTTTAGCCAAGATGTAACAACTGTATTACAAGCTGTAAGAAGCGGAAGCACAAGTTCTCTCTGATTATAACTGCAGAGCATCTTGCAATGCATCTATATCATGATTGGTATATTTAAATACTACAACTCATCAATTTTGTCTCCATATGTCTCACAAGAGTGTCGCGACAAGTATGGCAGTGAGTTAAGGCGGCTATTCAAGCCAACACCAACAAGTCAATCCCTGGCATAAGGCGTGACACCTGAAGTCCGCCTCTTAGAGTTGGTTTACCATTGTCGGGAATAGAAGACAATGTTTGTGTTGTGAAGGTCACGCTAGGCCAGTGACTAAGCATCCACAGGACAAATTTCCCGACAACCTACTCCCGGATACTTATGAACAGCCTAAGTGAAGAGTGGCATCAGGTATCAGATAAACGTTGCCCCCAAAAGTTTCCATTTTGTGCAGAAATCAAACCAGGGGACCGAATGCGTCAAGATCACTCGACTTGTTATTGGATAGGATTATCTACATGCCTCACTCTACTCAACTCCGCCTGGTGGTGTCTCTGGCGTCAGTTTACACACATGACTGGAACAGCCTGACACAGTAGCCTGTCGAGAGCTGTGTTCATCAATCACACCCACGCGTCCTGGGCCACCCACTCCTCCAGCGGCTGGGGGACCACGTGAGGCCAGCCACGGGGGTGCTCACAGAAAGCCGAGACACACTTGCAGCAGCAGGGACCTCCCTGAAACACCCAGCAGGAGGCCCGGAGGGGCGCAGCTGGGGTTCATCTCGGCTACACACTGATTGCAGAAACCTGAGAGCTTGTCAGTGATGTGGCCACTCAAGACACTTCATCACACAAGCACCTACAGATCTCACAGAAAGCTAATGAAAATATAATCTTATAATTTTACTGAACTTAGTACCCACTACAGATAAACACATACACGATATGTCTTCCACAATAGATGCATGAATTTCCGGCCGGCCACAACAACGTCTGACAAATGGCCGCTAATTGGCCGATACGGAGGAGGGGGGGGGGGGAGGGGGACAAGAGGAGTGACAGACAGACACCTGAGACGTATACTCCTCCATCATACCCCGACAACAACAACAACAACGACACAGGACTTGCCATTCATATTCTCGTGTCTGAAGATCTCAGACGAAGGTTTCGTGTATACATCTTAACCCTCAGGTTAAGGCTATATTAACCCTCAGGTTAAGGCTATATTAACCCTCAGGTTAAGGCTATTTTAACCCTCAGGTTAAGGCTATATTAACCCTCAGGTTAAGGCTATTTTAACCCTCAGGTTAAGGCTATATTAACCCTCAGGTTAAGGCTATTTTAACCCTCAGGTTAAGGCTATATTAACCCTCAGGTAAAGGCTATATTAACACTCAGGTTAAGGCTATATTAACCTTCAGGTTAAGGCTATATTAACCCTTCAGGTTAAGGCTATATTAACCCTCAGGTTTAGGCTATATTAACCTTCAGGTTAAGGCTATATTAACCCTTCAGGTTAAGGCTATATTAACCCTCAGGTTTAGGCTATATTAACCCTCAGGTTAAGGCTATATTAACCCTCAGGTTAAGGCTATATTAACCCTCAGGTTAAGGCTATATTAACCCTCAGGTAAAGGCTATATTAACACTCAGGTTAAGGCTATATTAACCTTCAGGTTAAGGCTATATTAACCCTTCAGGTTAAGGCTATATTAACCCTCAGGTTTAGGCTATATTAACCCTCAGGTTAAGGCTATATTAACCCTTCAGGTTAAGGCTATATTAACCCTCAGGTTAAGGCAGTATTAACCCTCAGGTTAAGGCTATATTAACCCTCAGGTTAAAGCTATATTAACCCTCAGGTTAAGTCTATATTAACCCTTAGGTTAAGGCTATATTAACCCTCAGGTTAAGTGTTATGATCTCAGCCTGCAGGAGAAACGAGTCTCCCCCCTTGAGAGTTATTCAGCAAGCCTGACCTAACCAGAAGGTCTAAGAAATATAGAGGCGATAACACAGATGTAAAATAGTTTGTTGGATTCAATGAACAGTTTAAGATTATGGGCAGTAAGTAAGGAAATAGATAAATGACTGGCTAGGAGATGTGGACATTTTGCTGGAGGCATGAGGCTCGCTTCTGGAGGGCTTTGACCTCACTTGAGGCCAGACATCGCAGGGGGAAAGCCGCGCTTCGTTGAGCTCCCGTCAGAAGGGAACCCCTAGTGATATATCTCGAAGAGAAGAGAAGTGTGCAGATGTACCAGCTGTGGAATCGAGTTGGGGATGTGTGGTCTCAAGTCCTGGGCGACGAGGAGTGTTTATTAAACCGCCCAGAGGCATTATTGCGGGCCGTGGAAGCGCCCTGACCAAGCTTTGTCAGAGGGATAGCGCCCTCGACTAGACAATCTGTGGGTTGTCTTTGGGGAAGGAGTTGCTGAGAACTTCGAAGCCAGCACAGATGAAGTATTTGATGAGACTCCAAGGTAGTGGAGGAGAGGACCTCGAGCTGTGAGGAGAAGCAGTGAAGAGGAGTGTCACGTGCTTCTGTAGAGGTGGTGAAGCACCATAGTTGCTCAAGGAAACTTCATGGTAGCAGCCTGGAGGAGCTGCAGAGGATCCTGGTAGTTAAACCCGGAAGAACCTGAAGAGATCAGGGTTGTGAACTTCCAGAGGTGGAAGGGAAGTTCTGGTGGATTACTTGTAGGGAGTTGATAGTGTTTGGTAGTCATTAAACGCTAAGACGCAGTGAGAGGTGAGCGCTTGTTTGCATTCTTATGTCAAGGAGTGTTTTATACTGAAGTTTAGAGTTACAGTCGTAGGCTGGATTACCTATAGATGTATGTGTTCTAGGACTGATAGAGTGATCGATTGATCATTGTTGTGTATCAAGGAACATTTATACTGATATATGTTATTGCATTCACATGCTGATTTTCTTTGTACACATTTATAGATACATATATATATTCTCTTGCTGATGGTGCAACAGTGTATGTAGACTTGATCTACTTGAGGTGGTTGATAGTATCAGGTGGTGAGTCAGAAGATAGGATACCACTTGGTAAACTGATAATAGAGTTCTGATGGTGTTGGAGAGCGACCTGATTATAATATTATAGAGTATAGGATTCATTATTATTATATGTGTGTATGTATCGTGTATGTGCTTTGTCCAGTAAATGTGTCACAATTTGCTGGTGTTTGCCCTTGTCCTAGTGAGGCTTCCCAGGAGGTAGTAAAGAAGGAGAGAGAGAGAGAGAAAGAACCAAGAACCACTGCTGTGGACAGGGTAGAAGGTAATACTAGTAAGTCATAGGGGATTGAGGAGATCATATCTCATAAGGAGAGAGTGGGGAGTCACAGCGGCTCGAGTGGGTGTGTGCACGTGAACACGAGGCTAAGTGTTGGAGCCGCATCCCCTAAACGTGTGACGTTGAGCCCCTCTCCAAGAGCCAGAAGCGCCAAGGGTGATCTCCTAGAGAGGTATAAGCACTCTACCGAGTTGTGGGTTGGGTTGTCCGTAGAGAAGTATAAACGACAACAACACCAACCAACCCACAAGACTATAATATAAGGCTATATTAACCCTCAGGTTAAGGTTATATTAACCTTCAGGTTAAGGCTATATATTAACCTTCAGGTTAAGGCTATATATTAACCTTCAGGTTAAGGCTATATATTAACCTTCAGGTTAAGGCTATATATTAACCTTCAGATTAAGGCTATATATTAACCTTCAGGTTAAGGCTATATTAACCCTCAGGTTAAGGCTACATTATTTTACTACGGAAGGGAAGGGAATTATCTGGGGAAAGTGCCAAGCCATTACTACTACTTAGCACTTGGAAGGGGTCAGGATTTGGGATGGGACGGGGGGGGGTGGGGGAGGGGGAAGGAATAGTGCCTCAAGTACTTGGATGGTCGGGGATTGAACGCCGACTTGCATGAAGCGAGACCGTCGCTTTACCGTCCAGCCCAAGTGGTTGGAGGGAATCTTTATGGTCACCCAGGGGACCTGCCTCCCACCGTCATGGTCACTGGGGGGACCTGCCTCCCACTGTCATGGTCACACTGGGGGACCTGCCTCCCACTGTCATGGTCACCCTGGGGGACCTGCCTCCCACTGTCATGGTCACCCTGGGGGACCTGCCTCCCACTGTCATGGTCACCCTGGGGGACCTGCCTCCCACTGTCATGGTCACCCTGGGGGACCTGCCTCCCACTGTCATGGTCGTCCCGGGGGACCTACCTCCCACCGTCAGGGTCACCCGGGGGGACCTGCCTCCCACCGTCATGGTCACCCGGGGGGCCTGCCTCCCACCGTCATGGTCACCCGGGGGACCTGCCTCCCACTGTCATGGTCACCCGGGGGACCTGCCTCCCACCGTCATGGTCACCAGGGGGGACCTGCCTCCCACCGTCATGGTCACCAGGGGGGACCTGCCTCCCACCGTCATGGTCACCCGGGGGACCTGCCTCCCACCGTCATGGTCACCAGGGGGGACCTGCCGCCCACCGTCATGGTCACCCGGGGGACCTGCCTCCCACCGTCATGGTCGCCCCAGGGGACCCGCCTTCCACCGTCATGGTCACCAGGGGGGACCTTCCTCCCACCGTCATGGTCACCAGGGGGGACCTGCCTCCCACCGTCATGGTCGCCCCGGGGGACCCGCCTCCCACCGTCATGGTCGCCCCGGGGGACCCGCCTCCCACCGTCATGGTCACCCGGGGGACCTGCCTCCCACTGTCATGGTCACCAGGGGGGACCTGCCTCCCACCGTCATGGTCGCCCCGGGGGACCCGCCTCCCACCGTCATGGTCACCCGGGGGACCTGCCTCCCACCGTCATGGTCACCAGGGGGGACCTGCCTCCCACCGTCATGGTCGTCCCGGGGGACCTGCCTCCCACCGTCATGGTCACTCAGGGTACCTGCCTCCCACCGTCATGGTCACCGGGGGGACCTGCCTCCCACTGTCATGGTCACCCTGGGGGACCTGCCTCCCACTGTCATGGTCACCCTGGGGGACCTGCCTCCCACTGTCATGGTCACCCTGGGGGACCTGCCTCCCACTGTCATGGTCGTCCCGGGGGACCTGCCTCCCACCCTCATGGTCGTCCCGGGGGACCTACCTCCCACTGTCATGGTCACCCCGGGGGACCTGCCTCCCCCTGTCATGGTCACCCTGGGGGACCTGCCTCCCACCCTCATGGTCGTCCCGGGGGACATACCTCCAACTGTCATGGTCACCAGGGGGGACCTACCTCCCACCGTCATGGTCACCAGGGGGGACCTGCCTCCCACCGTCATGGTCACCATGGGGGACCTACCTCCCACCGTCATGGTCACCAGGGGGGACCTGCCTCCCACCGTCATGGTCACCAGGGGGGACCTGCCTCCCACCGTCATGGTCACCAGGAGGGACCTGCCTCCCACCGTCATGGTCACCAGGGGGGACCTGCCTCCCACCGTCATGGTCACCCGGGGCCTCCAGTGCTCCACGTTATGGCCTCCACAGTTACATCAGGAGGTAAACAACAGTGCAAGAACAGGTGATGAAACTTTGAACGTGTGAGGGCAGGCTCACCGAGCATGACAAAGAGGTGTGTGAAGAACTCAACAAAGGATTTCAAGCTGTCTACACAACACAAAGAAGTGTAGTCCCTGAACTAGGAGAGGAGGCAGTAAACCAGGCAGCCTTAGAGGTGTTCGAAATTACAAGAGATGAGTTTAAGAGGTATCTGTTGGATCTTCACGTAAGAAAGGCTGCTAAACCAGACCGAATCTCACCATGAGCACTGAAAGAGTGTGCAGGAGTACTTTGCTTGCCACTCTCCATGGTATATAGTAGGTCACTGGAGACGGGAGACCTACCAGCTATATGGAAGACGGCTAATGTAGTCCCAATATACAAAAAGGGTGACAGACAAGAGGCACTGAACTACAGGCCAGTGTCCATAACTTGTATACCATGCAAGGTGATGGAGAAGAGTGTTAGAATAAACCTAGTAAGACATCTGGAGAGAAGGGACTTCGTGTGAATCCATCAACATGGGTTCAGGAAGGGTAAATCTTGTCTTATAGGCTTAATAAAATTCTCCGATCAAGCGACAAAGATTAAGCAAGAAAGAGAAGGATGGACGGACTGCATTTTCTTTGACTGCTGGAAGCCTTTGACACAGTACCCCATAAAAGGCTGATGCATATGCTGGAGAAACTAGCAGGAGTAACTGGTAGGGCGCTCCAGTGGATAATTAAGTACCTAAGCAATAGGAAGCAGAGAGTTACAGTGAGGGGTGAGACCTCAGATTGGTGTGAAGTCACCAGTGGAGTACCTCAGGGCTCTGTACTGGGAACTATCCTGTTTCTGATATACGTAAATGATCTCCCAGAGGGTATAGACTCATTCCACTCAATGTTTGCTGACGACGCCAAAATTATGAGAAGGAATAAGACAGAGGACGACAGCTTGAGGCTTCAAGAAGACCTGGACCAGCTGAAGAAATAGTCGAACAAGTGGTTGTTAGAGTTTAGCTCAAGCAAATGTATTGTAATGAAGATAG